TGGATTTCAGCCACTGTTCTTGAGAAGCTTTTCAGTGAGACTGACAAGGGAGAAATTCCAAAGACTCTGACTGAAATGTACACACACTTCCTGATCTTTCAGACAAGTTTAAAAAATGACAAGTATATGAAAAAGTATAAAACCAAACCTAATAAATGCTTTGATTCTGGTGAGGAATCCCTGTTCTTTCAGACTAGATTAAAAAATGATAAGTATATGAAAAACTATGAAAGAAAGCTTAATAAACACAGCAAGAAATTCCTTTTGAAACTTGGTAAACTGGCTTTTGACAGCCTTGAGAACGGCAATCTCATATTTTATGAGCAAGATCTGACAGAGAATGACATTGATGTCAGTGAAGCTTCAGTTTACTCTGGAGTGTGCACAGAAGTCTTCAAGGAGGAATATGGGCTGTATCAGGAGAAGGTGTACTGCTTTGTGCATCTGAGCATCCAGGAGTATCTCGCTGCTTTATATGTGTTTCTGTCAAACTCATCAGCTGACCTGCTGAAGACTGCAGTGGATCAGGCATTAGAGAGCAAGAATGGACACTTGGACCTCTACCTCCGTTTCCTCCTGGGCCTCTCAACAGACTCCAGTAAGACTCTGTTACAAAAACTACTGGGACAGACAAGAATCAGCTCACATACCACTTTAAAAAGATCCTTAAAATGGCTACTGGGACAGACAGGAACCAGCTCACATAACATTAGGAAAACAGCCAAATACATCAGGGAGAAAATACAGGAGAATTTATCTCCAGAAAGGACCATCAATCTCTTTCACTGTCTGACTGAGCTGGGTGACAATTCTCTAGTAGAGGAAGTACAAAGATACCTGAATTCAGGAAGCCTTTCAGCAGAAGGCCTCTCACCTGATCAGTACTCAGCTCTGGCCTTTGTGATGCTGATGTCAGATGAGGAGCTGGATGTGTTTGATCTGAAGAAATACATCAGATCAGATAAAGAGTACTGGAGGCTGCTGCCTGTGGCCAAGAACTCCAGGACGGCTCTGTAAGTGACGTGGGAATGGGAAATCATGTCTGGTCTGGCAGTAATACATGAATATTCTTTGAAATATATAATATACATATAATTTATTTCTCTTCATGCATTAATACCTGGGTTTCATTTTGATAATCTTGACTACAGCTGTTTCTATGGCGGTAGCTAATCTGGACCACAGATTTTATAATGACTGAAGGTGATGATGTAGCAACAAACAAAAAACATTTTTGTTCCCATCCAGTCTGCCTTCTGATCACAGGCACAGCATCCTAACCTGCTATAGAAACAGTGAGGGCTCTTTATCCACAGGGTGTATAAGTGATATGTGAGTGTTATTGTCAGCAGGTGTGTTCATGTGATGGAGCCCAGAGCTGGGAGCTTCTGTATGACTGATGTAAATATGGGAAATATGGACATTGCATTGTCGTTAAACAGATTCATTGCTCGCGCTGCTACGCCCTTTTGTGCTTTTCTACTAAATTTTCACTATACAATCCCACAAAGAGAGAGAGAGAGAGAGAGAAGAACCATCGACTCAGTTGTGATTACGTGATGCTAGGCAGACGAAGCATATATGTAATACTCGTTTTGCAAGACCTCGCTTGTTTATCAAGTTAAAATGTATTTAAAATTTTTGCTTGTCTTGCAAAACACTCGCAAACCAAGTTACTCGCAATCCAAGGTTTTACTGTATATATAATGTATTTACCCTCTTGGATCAATAACTAGGATTTTTAGGAAACTAGATTTTATATTAACTGAAGGTAGTGATGTAGTAAAAACAAAAAAGACAAGAATTCCATGACCATCCTTTGTGTAACAAATAACCAAAGATACAGCATCGTACAGAATGGTCCAGTTTTCATTAATAGTGGGAAACCACTCATATTTGTTTCAGTTCTGGATGCTGTAGGAAGCATTTCTGTGAATACTAGGTGTGATGCGTGACTCTTTGGGTTCAAACACTGTGTCCGTGAGTGGAAGGTCGCTGGTTCAGATCTCCTGGCCGGCAGAGTGATGTCATCACTGATGTCATTGAGCTGCAGGGGTGCTGGATGCTGGCCGACCCTGCGATGTGACCCCCAAACTTCCTCTCATCTGTATATGTGTTGGCGTGTCTCTTGGAGAGCAAGATGGGAGGGGCGAAAAGACAATTTCCCCATGGGGATGAATAAAGTATCATTATTCATAAATCGTTCAAACAAACATTTCTGTTAAAAGCCTGTTTCACAGGATTGATAGCTCTCCAATTAGTGTATTGTTGATAAGGGCTGGGAGCTAAGTAAAAAAAATGTATATGTGTCGTTTTAGTTTAAAAATATCGCAATAAATAATATTTTTGAGCCCCACCCAAACACAGAATTCAATTTCAATTCAATTCAGTTTTATTAGTATAGCGTGTTTTCACATTACATTGTCTCAAAGCACTTTACAGCATCCCTGCCCAAAGCCCCCAGTGAGAAAGTCAGAGTCGACAGTGGCAAGGAAAAACTCCCTAGAAGGAAGAAACCTTGAAGGACTGCAGAAGTTGTTGTAGTTAATGAGGCAATGGAACGTCTGATACTGTACTTTGGAGCTGGGGC